GGAGAATTACAGTTTTTTTCCATAGTGTTACTGTGTAAGCTGTAGCATCCTGCTTGAGTTAGCTTCTGTAACCTGGTGTCTTCCACTGGCCCCGGGCAGGACTCCCAGGACAGCTCAGATGGAATTCCGTCGGCACCACGCATGACTGGCAGCCTGGTGTCTGACCGGAGCCACGACGACATAGTCACCCGGATGAAAAACATTGAGTGCATTGAGCTGGGCCGGCACCGCCTGAAGCCGTGGTACTTTTCCCCGTACCCGCAGGAGCTTACCACCTTGCCCGTCCTCTATCTCTGCGAGTTCTGCCTCAAGTACGGCCGGAGTCTCAAGTGTCTGCAGCGTCACTTGGTATGAGGGGCTTTGGGAGGCTGCTCTCCCAGCACCTCATCCTCCCCTGACCCCTATCTCTGACCCTCTTCTCTTCCCCAGACCAAGTGTGATCTGCGACATCCCCCAGGCAATGAGATTTATCGCAAGGGCACCATCTCCTTCTTTGAGATTGATGGCCGCAAGAATAAGGTCAGCTGCTGAGGGGCAGTGGGGTGCCTTTGGGGCTGGTGGCCTGGGGCATAGGCAGAGCAGCAGTTTCTTCCTGTTCGGGAAGACACTGACCAGTCTGGTCAACGTATCAGTTGAGCCCATTTTTATTGAATACCGGCTACAGGGCAGGTGTCAGGAGGTACAAGGATGACCAGGAACTAGACAGAGTTTCTGCTGAGACCCCACAGTCCATGGGAGCCAGACATGCCGATGGCCTCCCACATCCCAGTGTGACAAATGTCATGAGTCAAAGGGTGGGTTACTGGGACTCTTAAGGAGGTAGTTTGCAAAGCTTCATGGCGATGACCTTTGACGGGAGGGAATTCTGAGCAGTGCAGTGCTGAAGGGCAGGCCTGGCTGTATAGAGATGGTGCGTGTGCAAGGCTGTTTGAGGGGACAGAGTTCAGGTGATAGGAACAAGGTCAGTAGGGGTGGATTAGGGGGCACTGCAGGTTTGGGGCTTCAGACCTGCCATTCTGTGGCTGTGGGGAAGGAGGGGGTAATCTGGAGACTGCTGAATGAGATTCCCCCCTTCGAGGGTTTAGAGGGTGGTGGGGGGAGCAGGCACCTTGAATGGTAGGTGAGAGCTCAAGCTGGAGTGAGGGGCAGCCTGAGAGGAAGATGCTGCATTAACCACTGTTTTGTAGTAGAGACCGTGGACTTGGTGTAGCAGGTAATTAAAAAGATGCGTTTAAAAGCGTAGAAGTTGTGTGCAGATGTGAAGTCGCAAAGTTCATAGTTTTGCTGGAGGTACCTGTCAGGCTGTGTTTTGTTAAATTTTAGAAATTCTTGAAATTGTAGATGGCAGCTCAGTTGCCAGGTGTGACTGTGGGCTGCGGGGCTGTTGTGATTTTTGAGAGCCAGTCTCCCAAGATGTCATCCAGGCAGAGGTCACACCTTTTCATGAGCCTGGGCCAGAGTCTGACTTCATGGGAACCCATTTCAGTTTGTTTACTGTTGTCAAACAGATCGGAGGGCAGCGGAGGCCCCCGGCCAGGCGTGGAGCCGTGGGGAGCAGGTGGTTCCTGCCCAGCTCACCAGGGAGCCAGGTGGTAGAGTCCCGTCATGGGGCAGGCACAGCGTGAACAATCCTCTGCCTGGCAGGGATCAGTGGCCACGCCCAGGGCAGGTGTCCAGAGGGTGACAGGTCTTTTCTTTTGCAGAGTTACTCCCAGAACCTGTGTCTTTTGGCCAAGTGTTTCCTTGATCACAAGACATTGTACTATGACACAGACCCCTTTCTTTTCTACGTCATGACGGAGTATGACAGCAAGGGCTTCCACATCGTGGGCTACTTCTCCAAGGTGAGTGCTATTAGGCTGCTCGTCCTGCTGAGCCAGGTCCCATCCCTGTGTACTCACCGCTTCTCTTCTCCAGGAAAAGGAGTCGACCGAAGACTACAATGTGGCCTGCATCCTGACCCTGCCTCCCTACCAGCGCCGGGGCTACGGCAAGCTGCTAATTGAGTTCAGTGAGTACCTGTGCTGGCTGTCCAGCGGCTGAGGGTGCGAGCTAGCAGTCCCAGGGCCTGTGCCCCCCTCACCAGGGCCTCACACACCACACACACACATGCCGGCCTATGATTCTCAGACCTGGCTGTGCGGGGAAGCTGGCCAGAAATAAAGATGGGAGTCTGCCAGGGTTCTCGCGTTTCACAGTGACTGCCCGCTTGGCTGGAGCAGGCTTACCCTTCTGCCCCCACCGGTCCCTGGCCAAAGTTCTAAGCACCACGCAACTTTTCCTTGATCTGACTCATCTGCTCCTGCTTGGCTGTGGGGGGCCACCGTTGCGCACCCATCTGGTACTGTGCCGTGAGACACGTTCCTGGGCCAGGACCAGTGTTCATTTCCCCAGTTGTCCTCAAGGCTTGCAGACACCAGCTGTTCAGAGTGTTCGTTCAAACAGATCTAAGCACCGACATGCATGGATTTGTTCCTCATCCCTTGTATTCAGTCAGGTAAATCTCTCAAAGCGGAGAGGTTCCACCTGCCTCATCTAATACAGATGCTTCAGCGCCCCCAGCTCTGAGGACCCTTCTGATTTCCAGTTTCTTACCCTGGTTCAATTCATTTTAGCACTCAGAACTATTGGAATACCAACTTCTCAGAAATCTTGTTCTGTTTTCCTCAAGCTTTGATCCTGGGAGGCAGGAAAAGTTTTAGCTGATTGGCTGAGACTTGACCAAGGTCACAGTCTATTTGAGAAATGTTATTTGATCAAATGATGTCATGATGGAGTCATGTTCAGGAAGCTGACTCTGGTAGAGCAGGCAGATGCTTAAAGAAACTCAGGCTAAGCACTGAGCTCAGAACCATGTGGAGACAGGATGCACTGGTCAGGATAGCCTCCCAGCAGGGCCCCCGAAGCACCACTGCAGGCAGCTCCGAGGGCAGGGGGTGCTCACTGGGGAGGGGAGGAGGTGAGTGTGGCCTGCAGCCAATCTGTTAGGAGCATGCATGCACCGTGTACCCCACAAAGTTATGTCTGAAAGGCCTCTTTGGTGCATCCTGCAACCAACCAGTCTGGCTTGTTGGGGAGGCCACAGGAGACTGGGCAGGAGGGTACTCTCCATTGGCTGAGAAAGATATCAGGAAAACAGAAAGGGCAGAGGTCCACTGTGAGGCTGCTTGGGGGCTCTTCAAGATAATGGGGACAACCCAGTGCCCTGAAGGGAGAATGAACACCTTGCCCAAGGGGTGGGAAGCCACGCAGCTCTGCAGGGATTTCCCAAGATCCACTTGCCAATGCCCAGCAGAGCCGCTTTGGAAGCAGTCACCTGGCTGCGAGGAAGGACTTCCCTCTGGCTGGGCAAGCAGTTTGGTGCTCCTGCTCTCTGGATGCACCTAGTCAGCCGCCGGAGTCACGGCAGGGTGGACTGATGGGGCTGAGAGAATTCAAGCATCCTCAGGGCTGGACTAGAGATGGAAGCAATGCCCCCCCTTCTCTCCTCACATGTCCAGACACAGGAGGGAGTCTGGAATGACAAAACAGTGACACCTTTCTTTCCATAGCCATTCTTTCTGCAAGCCCCCAGGCCTTCACTGGCCCCTCAGCACCCCTTGGATTGTCTCAGTGCCCCCCACTGTGCTCAGCACACAGGTGAAGAGGGAGTGCTCAGTAAAGGTCAGCTGGTGACAGCACCTGGCATGTGTCATCCTTTTCTTATGTGACAGTTCTGTGAAGGAGGTTCCATTGTAAGTCCTTTATGAGGAAAAGAGCAGGCACAGAGCAGACAAGGCACATACCTAAGGTCACAGAACTAAGTGGCAGGGCCAGGATCAACCAGGAAGTGAGTCTCCACCATCCGTGCTCTACAATGTTTGTTGCATTAAACTGTGCCCCTTCCTCACCCTTTCTTGCTCCATTGCTTCAGGCTATGAACTCTCCAAAGTGGAAGGGAAAACAGGGACCCCTGAGAAGCCCCTCTCAGATCTCGGCCTTCTGTCCTATCGAAGCTACTGGTCCCAGACCATCCTGGAGATCCTGATGGGGCTGAAGTCAGAGAGCGGGGAGAGGCCTCAGATCACCATCAAGTGAGCCTGGCCCCGCCCGACCAACCCAGGGGGTGCATGGCATGGCTTTTCTGTCCCCAGCTCCCTCCTTTCTGGAGTCCTGGGGCAGAGGGGAAGGCCCTCAGGAGACCTGACCTTTGCCCTCCCACAGTGAGATCAGTGAGATCACTAGCATCAAGAAGGAGGATGTCATCTCCACCCTGCAGTACCTCAATCTCATCAACTACTACAAGGTAGGGGGGCAGGCTGGGCAGACGGGTCCCTGGGAGGGGGTGCAGCTCCATGGGGGGAGGGGCTGACTTGCCGGCCCCTCCCTCTATCTAGGGCCAGTATATCCTCACGCTGTCGGAGGACATCGTGGATGGGCACGAACGGGCTATGCTCAAGCGGCTGCTTCGGATTGACTCCAAGTGTCTGCACTTCACTCCCAAGGACTGGAGCAAAAGGGGAAAATGGTGACCAGACACTGTTCATGGCAGTGTCAACACAGCAGGCAGGACTGGCGCTGACAGCACAGCCTGCCCCCACCAAGGCCCCCAAAGGACCCACCAAGGGGCACGGGGCTGAGGACTGCTCCACAAGGACAGGACGGGTGTGGCAGGCGCCGCTGGTGCCCAGTGCCAGGGCAAGCTCAGGGCTCAGGCCCACTCCAAGGTTGGCTGGCTGCAGGCCCAGGCCTGCTCTAAACCAGGGACTGGAAGGAGCCCGGCAGTTGTGTACAGGGAGGGGCAGGCTGGGGGCGACCTGCAGAGGGCTGGTTGGCTCTAAAGATTCCTTTTGTAAAGCAGGAGTTGGGGGTGGGTGGGTACTGGCTGCAGAATTATGGCCTTTCTTGCCCCCATTCCTCTGGCAATAAATTGTTTCTGTAGGCCAGAGCCCCGGGAGGTTCTTGTTCTCGGAGAGGGCGGCTTAAGGGCTCCAAGGTGCCCACAGACTCACAGGCGCTGTGCAGAACTCATTTATTGGGGAGACGGGATCAGTAGCTCCAGAGTGCAGGGCTGGTTTATTGGGGTGCAGGCATCAGTGGCTTTCAGTCTCAAGCTCTGGGTCTCAGTCTGCAGGCACCTGTGTGTGAATCTGCAGCAGGAGTCACCTGCTGTTGGATTGCTGAGATCCAGTGGCAGGGGCCACATCTGGGGGAGGCCCACCTGCTCAGAATGATAGCCCTTTCTAGATCTCCAGAGAAGGGTGGTGGGGAAGCCCTTCACCCAGTCTAATCCTGCCCCATTGTGCTCCCCAGCCCTAAAGCCCCAAATACACTCGGGCTAATTTCTGGCCAACCCAGCATCTAACTTTAAAGTCAGAGGGGGAACAGATGAGGCCTCAGACGCCTGGGAGAAGGGCCCATCCTTCTACTCACCGCTGCAGCCAGGGTGGGCCAGGTCAAGGCCCCGCGCACTTTGGCGTCCGGGCCCGGGATCGTCTCCAGGCCCCACAGGTGGAAGCGGGCAAAACTGGCAGTGGCCCGGATAAAGCGGTCCTGAGAAAGGGGCCCGGTTCAGAATGGAAGCGCCGCTCCCGCCCGCACCCCCTTCCATCCCCGACACCCTTTGCTCACGAAGTCCCGCTCCAGCGGCTCCGGGCCCTCCTGCTGCTCTTCCTCGTCGTCCTCCGAACCCTTCAATTCCTGTTTCCTTTCTAACCCTATCAACACCTCTGCTTTCTCGTCCATCACCATCACGTATCCCGCGAGGCCCGGCGGCACCACCACCTCCTCGCCCCGCAGAATGCGGCCCCGAAACGACACCTCGAGCCCTGAAGGAAAGAGGCGCAGGGCCTGAGTCAGGCGATGTTCCACGCGCGGGGCGCCCGGCGGGGCCCTCCCGCCACTCCGGGCGGACTACGACCCCCAGGCGCCCCCGCGGCGCTGCTCACAGAGGAGCCCGCGGCGCGGGCGCGGGGGCTGCCGGGAGCCGTAGTCCGGCTGGAGCGCTCACCCGCGGGCCGCTGGCGGATGGCCGGGACAAAGAAGCGCTCGACGGGGGCGGGCCGGTTAGCCAGGACCTCGCAGGGTAGTAGATGCAGCGCGACGGGGGCAGCGTCGCGCAGCGTGGCGGGGCGCAAGTGGACGCGGTGCTTCTCGGTGGCTTCCTCGTCGCCGCTCTCCATCCTGCGGTCGCTGTGAGTCTCTGGCTGAGGCCAAAGCTGGCGCGTAAAGCGCGCACAGCCTCTCGAGAGGCTGGGTATCGTCAGCGCAGAGCCCCATGGGAAGTGTAGTCCTTCCCTGAGGCGCCTCTGCAAGCCCCGCCTCATGTTAGTTCGAGTCCCAGCTTTTTTCTTCAATGTCTCTTTTTAATCCAAAATTAATTTTAAAAATTGTGGTAAAATACGCATAAAATTTGCCACTTTAACCATTTTTAAGTGTACAATTCAGTGGCGTTAATTACATTCACAGTGTTGTGCTATCCTCACCACTATTTCTAAAGTTTTTCTATCACCCCAAGTAGAAATTGTACCCATTAAGCAGTAACTCCCCATTCTCCCTCCCACTGGTACATGATATCCTGTAATTTACTTTCTGCCTATATGAATTTGCCTATTCTAGATGTCTGTCAGCTGTCCTGTGGTACCTTGCACGTTGCTGTGAGGCTGGAAATTATGCCACTGGTACTGCAAATACTGGCAAGGTCACCTATGGTGGACAGGTTTCAGTAGAGCTTCCAGACTAAGACAGACTAGGAAGAAAGGCCTGGCAATCTAGTTCCAAAAATTAGTCAATGGAAACCTTATGGATTGCAACAGAATATTGTCCAATATAGTGCTGAAGATTAGCCCAGCCCCCCACCCCAGGTTGGAAGACCCTACACAATAGCTGCAACAATGGACTCAAATATACCAATGATCATGATGATGGCGAAACACTGGACAATGTTTTGTTCTGTTATACATAAGATCACCATGAGTCAGCCTTGGCAACTTGTTGCTAGGTACCATCAAGTTGGCACCGACTCATAGCGACCCTATGTATGACAGAATGAAACACTGCCTGGTCCTGTGCCATCCTCACAATCATTGCTATGTTTGAGCCCATTGTTGCAGCCACTGTGTCAATCCATTTTGTTGAGGGTCTTCCTGACAACAACAAATACATTTAATATATTTGGAATCATAGAATATTTGTCTCTTTGTATCTGACTTATTTCACATAGCACAATGTTTTCAATGTTCATCCATGTTGTAGCATATATCAGAACTCCTTCCTTTTTATGGCTCAGTGATATTCCATTATATGGATAGACCACATTTTGTTTTATCCATTCGTCTGTTGACAAACACTTGGATTGTTTCCCCTTGTTGACTATTGTGAATAATTCTGCAATGAACATTGGCATACAAGTATGTTTGAGTCCCTGCTTCCCATTCTTTTGGCTATGCATCTAGGAGTAGAATTGCTGGGTCATATAGTAATTCTATGTTTAACTTTTGAGGAAGCACCGAACTGTTTTCTGTAGTGGGTATACCATTTTTCATTCCCACCAGCAATGGATGAGGCTTCCAATTTCTCCACATCCTCTCCAACATTTATTCTTTTCTGGGTTTTATTACTGTTATTATTATAATATCCTAGTAAGTATAAACTGGTATCTCATCATGGTTTTAATTTGCGTTTCCCTAATGACTAAATAATGTTGAGATCTTTTCATGTGCTTACTGGCCGTTTGTACATCTTCAGAGAAATGTATATTTAAGTCCTTTGCCCTTTTTTAAATTGGGTTGTTTTGCATTTTGTTGTTGAGTTGTAGGGATTCTTTATTTATTCTAGAGAAACCCTTACATCTGATAAACCCTTATCAGATATATGATTTACAAATATTTTCTCTCATTCTGTAGGTTGTCTTTTCACTCTATTGAAAGTGACCTTTAATGCATACAATTTTTAAGTTTTGATGAAGTGTAATTCATCTAGTTTTTTCTTTGTTGCCTGTGTTTTTGGTGCCATATTCAAGAAGCCATTGCCAAATCCAAGGTCGTGAAGACTTTCCCTTATGTTTTCTCCAAGAATTTTAGCTCTTAAATTTAGATCTTTGATCTACTTTAAGTTAATTTTTGTATATGGTGTAAAGTAAGGGTCCAACTTCATTCTTTTGCATGTGGATACTCATTTTCCCAGCACCATTTGTTGAAAACAAAATTTTTTCCCCGATGAATGGTCTTGGCATTCTTGTCAAAAATCAATTGACCATACTATGTATATTTTCACCAAAAAAAAAAAAAAAAAAAAGGTTGAGAAGGGAGAGGGTTGACATGTCGTGGGGTTGTTAACCAATGTCATAAAACAATATGTGTACTACTGTTTAATGAGAAACTATTTGTTCTGTAAACTTTCACCTGAAGTACAATTAAAAAAAAGAATAAAAAAATCAATTGACCATAGATGTGAGGGTTTATTTCTGGGCTCTCAATCCTATCCCATGGGTCTATATATTTATTCTTATGCTAGTATTGCACTGTTTTGATAGTTGTAGATATGTAGTAAGTTTTAAAATCAGAAAGTGTGAGTCCTTCAACTTGGTTCTAATTTTTCAAGATTGTTTTGGCTTTTCTGGGCCCCTTGAATTTTAGGATGTTCAAGTGGATGGGTTTACAAAGAGCAATGTATTCTCTCACAGTCCAGTAGGCTACAAGTCCCAATTCAGGGCATCAGCTCCAGGGAAACGCTTTCTCCATTGGCTCTGGAGGAAGGTCCATGTCATCAGTCTTCTTTTGGTCTGGGAGCTTCTCTGTGCAGGAACCTCAGGTCCAAAGGACGCGCTGTGTTCCTGGCACTGCTTTCTCATGGTATGAGGTTCCCATGTGTCTCTGCTCACTTATCTCTTTTATATCTCAAAAGAGATTGCATTAAGACACTACTCTTGTCAACCTCCTCAGTATAACCTCATCACAGTGATAGAATTTACAACACATAAGGAGATCACATATAATCTTATCATAGTGATACAGTTTACAACACATAAGGAAATCACATCAGATAACACAATCATACAATACTGGGAATCATGACCCAGCCAAACTGACAGATATATTTGGGGGACACAACTCAATCCATGACAGATGAGTTTTTCCATTTCTGCAAAAACTGCTATTGGCATTTTGGTAGGGATTGCACTGAAACTGTAGATCACTTTGGCATTTTCACCTTAACAATATTATCTTCCAATCCATGAACATGGAATGTATTTCCATTTACTTAGGTCTTCTTTAATTTTTTTCAGCAATTTTTTTTGTAGTTTCTATATACAAGTCGTGTTCCTCTTTGGTTAAATTCATTCCTAAGTATTTTATGCTTCAATTTTTTTTTTCCATTTCTTTCAGCTTGAGAAATGCAGAGCATGTTCTTCCCCTTTGGTTTTCTAACTCCAGGTCTTTGCACATTTCGTTATAATACTTTACCTTGTCTTCTTCAAGCTGCCCCTTGAAATCTTCTGTTCAGCTCTTTTACTTCATCATTCCTTCTCTTCACTTTAGCTACTCTGCACTTAAGAGCAAGTTTCAGAGTGTCTTCTGACACCCATTTTGGCCTTTTCCCTCCTTCCTGTCTTTTTAATGACCTTTTACTTTCTTTATGTATGATGCCCTTGATGTCTTCCCACAACTCTTCTGGTCTTCAGTCATTAATGTTCAGTGTGTCAAATCTATTCTTGAGATGGTCTCTACATTCAGGTGGGATGTAGTCAAAGTCATACTTTGGCTCTCATAGACTTGTTTTGATTTTCTTCAGCTTCATCTTGAACTTGCATATGAGCAATTGATGGTTTGTTTCACAGTTAGGCCCTAGCTTTGTCTTGACTGATAATATTGAGCTTCTCTTCATCTGTTTCCACAGATGTAGTCAATTTGATTCCTGTGTAATCCATCCAGTGAGGTCCATGTGTATAGTCATCAATAGGTTGTTGAAAAAGATACATCCAATGAATAAGTCATTGGTCTTGCAGAATTCTATCATGCGCTTTCTGGCATTGTTTCTATCACCAAGGTTGTATTTTCCAACTGCTGATCCTTCTTTTTGCTTCTAACTTGCACATTTCAATCACCATTGGAATCAGTGTCATTAAATTGTAAATCTGGAAGCTATGATCCAGCAATTCTACACCTAGTATATGCCCCAAAAAATTGAAAGCAGATACCCAGTGGTTAAGAGCTCAGGATGCTAATCAAAAAGTTGGCAGTTCAAATCCACTAGCTGCTCCTTGGAAACTTTATGGGTCAGTTCTCCTCTGTCCTATAAGGTTGCTATGAGTCGAAATTGACTCGATGGCAATGAGTTTGGTTTTCTTGTTTTTTGTTTCTTTTTACTCAAACAGATACAATGTTCATTGCAGCATTATTCACAATAGTTAAAAGGTGGATACAACCCAAATGTCTATCAACAGATGAATGGATAAATAAAATGCATATCCATTATATGTATAAACATGGTATATAGACAATGGAATATTACTCAGCCAGAAAGAGAAATGAAGTTCTGATACAGGCTACGACATGGATGAACCTTGGAAACATTATGCTAAGTGAAATGAATCATATACAAAAGGACAAATATATGATTCCACTTGTATGAAATATCTAGAATAAGCAAGTGCATAGAGACAGAAAGTAAATTAATGGCTAAACTAGTGAATGAGGGGTTATGGCTTACTTGGTAGAGTTTCTATTTGGGGTGATGAAAAACTTTGGAAATAAATAATGGTGATGATTGTAGAGCATTGTGAATATAATTAATGCCAGTGAATTATACACTTAAAATGGTTAAAATGACTAAATTTATGTTATATATATTTTGCCACAATAAAATTTAAAAAAATAGTTACTGTGTTATTTGGTGCATAAATATTCATAATGTTATATGTTTGTGGTGAATTATGACTTTAGCATTAAATAGTAACTTTCTTTGTCATATTTAAATACTTTGTGGCCTGAATTCTACTTTCTCTAATATCAAGATCACTGTCTTTGCTTTTTTATTGTTTCCATCTGCCTGGTATATTTTCATCCACCACTTTATTTTTAGCCTTTCTGAATCACATTGTTTTAAGTGTTTCTTGTATACAACATTGTCTTAGGCTGGGTTTTCTAGAGAAGCAAAACCAGTAAAGTGTATAAATATATGTATAGAGAGA